AAAATTTTAGCTGCTCCCCTGGGATACTTGCAATGCGAACCAGAAGCTAGTGTCACATTTCTCAGCTTTGACTGACAGTTTTCACAGTCCTCTTCTCACATGGAGCTTTCAACCGGCAGGGAAACCATGTTAAGAGACCACAGGGGAACTGGTCCTTCGGCAGGGGGAGGAGAGGCAGGAAGAACAGCCTGTCCTCCAATGGAGCAAAAGGTGGACTTAAGGCTAAAGCTCCTTTCCCATTTACAAGGGTTTAAGAGAGGGACAAGCATTGAGTAATTACTAATGGGGCGATGTGACCCTCCAGGATTAATTATAGCAGTCTCAACTACCACTGCATATAGACCTGATAAAATGTCATGTCACAAAAGGAATTCTGAGGAGAAGGCTTCAAGTCCTTCTGACATCCAATAAAGCTATGTGACCCCGAGGATAGTGTGTCCCCAAAGGTCAGAAATATGAATAAATTACACTTACGATAACCTTGGAGCCAAATAAAGGAAGATGAAAAATCTCCTTGCTCTCATGAAAAATTTGACAGGTCTTCACGAGGGGGAAATAGTTTAAATTAGGGAGAACAAAAATGTGGTATGGGTTAAGAAGCATTGGAATGGGAAGACTCCAAATAGATGGGTGAGGGAAATTGGTCTTCCGGTTTTATTTCATCCAGAACAATCAAAACTGTGCCACACTTGGAAACATATGAGAGACAGTTTGGTCTAATGGTTAAGGCTCCAGACTAAAACCCAGGAGTTCTAATCCTGCCTCATTCAAGCAACTGGCTGGGTAACTTTGAACCAGTCACTTTCTCTCAGCCCAAATCCCCTCACAGGGTTATTGTTAAAAAGCTCTGTGAAACCGTGAAGTCTAACTGCTATTGCTATTGATAAAAATAATCAATAACTTCGAATGGCCACTAAAAGAACAGTTGTAAGCTGAGGACTGCCTGTGAAAATTTCTGAGCTAAGATAGCCAGGTGCCTCTTGCATGCACCCTAGATAATATAATACATCAGCATCGCTGAGAGAGAGGTATATGCACACTGACACCGGTATGATTTTAAATGTGATACTGCAGCATTTAATTATTGGAAACATGGATACAGGATCCTCCCTATTTCTTCGTTGAGAAACAGTAAGGACTGTAGGCCAGAATTTTCTCAACTTTTAAGAGGGAGCATTAAAATATATGTATATGTATATGTATATGTATATGTATATGTATATGTATATGTATATGTATATGTATATGTATATGTATATGTATATGTATATGTANAGAGAGAGAGAGAGCTCTCTTCTTCCTAAATCTCCTTTCTTTGAATACTAAGCGAGCCACAGGTTGAGAATAACCTTGGAAGGCAGCCAGAGGAGCCACAGCCAGGGCTATGCCAGGTAAAAGACATCTCAGCCCAGAGAAGGAAGCAAGAGAGGAAAAAGCATCTTAAGGGAGACCCTCCCTATGTTGTTCTTTTCTTTTCTTTTTTTTTGAAGATAAAAGCAAGGGAGGGGAGAATTGCTTTCGGGCTTGCAAGATTCTCTTCCCAGAACCTTACATTAAAAGTAGCATTAGCATTCATGGTTTTGGTTTCCTACCTGGACTATCTGCAAGAACTGATAACACCTAAGCAAACCTTTGGCAAGAAAATATCGCATCATTAAAGTGATCATTCTGGGGAAAGAAAGGAAATAAGCATGAGAAAAAAATGTTCCAAATATGGTTTGCATTCCAGTCAGGTCACACATTTAAGTGCCAATCCTCTAGAACAGTGATGGCTAATCTTTTTGTCATCGGATGCTGAAAGCTCATGCACGCACACCCATAATGCAATGTCTGTGTGACACACACGCTGTGGGCCCCCACTGTGCATGCGCACATGAACCCCCACATTTTCCCAGCCCCCCCCCCGTATGTGCATGTGTCCCGCCTCGTGCCCCGTTTTGGGCCTAATAGGCCACCCCTCAGCCTCCTGGAACCAAAAATGGGCTGTGGGGGGACGCACTGCACCCCCCTGCACTCCCACCTGCCCCCCTGCATGCATGCATGATCCTCCACCCCCACACATGTGCACGCATCTCCCTCATGCGCCCACCCCTGTGCATGCACAGCAGAGACCCAAAAATCAACTGCCTGGTGGGAGGGACACATGCGAGATGGAGCTGAGCTGGGGTGACAGCTCGCATGCCCGCAGAGAGGGCTCTGCATGCCACCTGTGGCACACATGCGATAGGTTCGCCATCAGTGGTGAAATGCTACTGGTTTGGGCCGGTTCGCCTGAACCGGTAGCAAAAAATCCTACCATTCACCCAAACCAGCAGTAAAAAAATGCTTAACAAAGTAAAAAAAAAATTCGATGATCAGCTGTGCTGTGTGATGTTAGGAACTTTTTTAAAACTGTTTTTTTTTTTAGCATTTGGGGTCGTTTTTGTTCCCAGGAAGCTTCCCTGAGGCCTGCTAGGCCAAAAATGAGGAGGTAGGGGGTGCTGAGAAAGAAAGAAAGAAAGAAAGAAAGAAAGAAAGAAAGAAAGAAAGAAAGAAAGAAAGAAAGAAANCCTGTGGCCATGGGAGTGATTGGAACACCTGATTCTGATTATTTGGATGGGTGAGCGAATACTTTTGGCAATATAGTGTATTTTCTCTTGGGAACCAAGGACATTCTCACACCTGGTCGGCGGAAGGCGGAGTGATATCACCTGGCAACCAGACCGCGCCCTGATTGGACCATCTGACTGATTGCATTGAGTAAGTGACAAACGTTTACTTTTAATTAGGTGAAAACCGTGGGAGTCTTCATAGTCGGTTTTCACCAGATCTGTGCCAATATGATATATCCGATAAAGCTATTCTTTGAGGAATCTAGCTGCCTCAATGTTTTGCTTGCTATGTGTTTATTACTTGGAAACTTGACAACGTCACAATCAGCTATGGAAACCCACAGATGATTTGGGGCCAGTCAAATCCTCTTAACTCAAATGATTCTTTTCCATAATTGGGAAATGCTCTTTAGGGCACTTTAAACTTCCCGGACAAAGGTGGGGTACATAAATCTAATCAACAACTTAAATGATAAAAAAAATATGGGGTTCTTGGGTGCTTTCTGAGCTTGGTTGTTTTCTTACAGATGTTGTTTTCTTACAGATGTTACCTAGTTTGGGTACTGAAACATCTCCAAGAAAACAACCAAGCTCAGAGAGCACCAAGGACCTTACCCTTCAAACCTGAACTACATATATTCTGTTCTACTGGATTAAACGGAATAGCTAAATTAAAACAATAGAAAATTAGAGCACGCAATGTAATCATATTCAAACAATCGAAATACTAAACCACCATCCGTTTCCTATCTTGATAACATACATGTGTTTGTGACTAAAGCCAGGTTCGAATGGCGTTAAAATTGCAGCCTTTTGCAAGGAAGAATCTGATTATTATTATAATGTATGGGGGGTTATTTTATCATCAGAAAATGAACAAGGATTTTATATATATATATAATTTAGGAAGAGAAATGTTATAACAGGAGATAGGTTAAGTTGTAATGTTAAAATAAGAACAGATGTATACAGTGGTGAAATTCAATTTTTTTTACTACTGGTTCTGTGGGCATGGCAGGGGAAGGATACTGCAAAATCTCCATTCCCACCCCACTCTGGGGCCAGCGAGAGGTAGAATTTGCCAGTTCTCTGAACTACTCAAAATTTCCACTACTGGTTCTCCAAACTACTCAAAATTTCCGCTACTGGTTTTCCAAACTACTCAAAATTTCCATTACTGGTGATGAAAGAAATGTCCTTCTGTGTTTGGCTCCAAGTGAGGAAAAAGACACTGGAGACATGGAGGCTGCTTGGAAAGATGGTTTATTGATGGACAGGACCACATGGCTTGAGTCCTGAACAGAAAAGGTGATCACATGCTTCAATGTTGGTGGAGAAAAGAGAAGGAAGGACTGAGATGCTGAGTCCCTGGTTTTATGCCCTCTCTGGCCTTTGATCTTGAGCTTGTATTCCGATTGGTTGTCAGACTCCCATGGGGCCATGCAGGGGCAACTCTCTAGGCTGCGTTTTGAATCCAGGTTTGGTTGAGTTCTTAGATGCCATGTGATGACTTGGGTAAAGTGCCAATATTATCATGCCTTAATCCCATCCCCCGGAGCTGAAGTGGAGAGCTCTTTATTATGCAAAGGGGCTAGCTTGGCCTTCTTAATGGCCCATTGACAAAAGTGGGGATGGGCAGGAAGCTACAGGGAGCTATTCTGTCTTTTAAAACATGTTTCTTCCTTTTCCCATCCAGATAAATATTCTGCCTTTTCAATATTTCCTAGGATATTTCATTTTTCTGGGAGAGGGCTGGGTGATAACTTCCTACACTGGTTCTCCAAACTACTCAAAATTTCCGCTACTGGTTCTCCAGAACCTGTCAGATCCTGCTGAATTTCAGCCCTGGGAATGAAAATGGAGAAGAGCATTTATAAAGAATTTGGTGGCAAGCTATAACTATTATGATACCCTCCCCCCCCAAAAAATTGTATTCAGACCACACACTGATTGATGAATGATAAAATGTTCATTTTAAAAGAAAATAATAAACAAACAAACAAACAAACAAATAACTTTTAAAAACCTAAATAAATAAATAACTTAAAAAACTTTAAAAAAACCTAAATAAATAAATATTTTTTTTAAAAAAAATGCAGCCTTTTCTTCTCCCGGGCCGGTTGGAGTCGGCTTGTCCAAAACCAGAGAGGCGATCGCTCGTGTCGAGCAGCCACGTGAAATTTCGGCCAGCGGTTCCTCCACCTCTCGCTTTGCAACAGCGGACCAATGAGAGAGCGCCTTCGCCTCCGAAAGTTCTCCCTCCCCCCCCCCGCGCGTGCCCCTTTGCTGCCCCTAGCGGAGCTTCGGAGGAAGCGCCGCTTCCTGCCCGTGATGCAATCCGAGCTGGGTCGCTATTCGCTCCGCTGCGAGGATTCGCTTCTTCATTTCGCGCCTTGCAACGTGTCGGGATCGAGGGCTGCCTTCGCTCCGGTCCCCCCAAGGCTGCTGAGGAAGGGGTTGGGGGGGTGGGATCGAGAGGAAGAGGAGGACTGCCTCCTCCAGCCGTGCAGCCGTGTAGAGATCCCTCAAGGAGCAAAAGAGATCCCCCCCCAAAAAATCTCTCTTCGCCTGCTTGGAGAAATCGGAGTCGATTCGGCTGTCAAGATGAAGGTACTGTAAGACTTGCAAAGGGAGGGAAAACACTGGTGTGAGAGATGCTGACGGAGGCGCAAACTGCTAGCGGGTGCAAGCGATCTGTCTCCCCCATTCAACATCATGGGGGGGGGAGCCAATCTCCCCTTGCACATAATAATCACAATAATTTAAAAAAAAGAACGAATCGCGCTGTAGTTGGGATGCATCTTTGACAAACGCATCCTTGCTACGTTCTGCACGCTTGGATAGCATCCACAGAGAGCAGGGTGGACAAGACAAGAATCAAAATAGCAGAAAAAAAAATAATGATTTCTGTCAATCATTGGATTCCTCCTATAGTGGACTGGGGTCATTTTTCTCTTCTTGTTTCCTAAAAAAAAACAACCGAACCAAATGTGGGTTTCGGATGGATTTACTCCATATGGTGTGCAAGGAGCACAACATTGGTGTGTGTTTCCATAGGCACCTTGCTCACCTACCACTTTTCCCCTCTTCATTTCGCTTTGCAAAAAAAAAAATGCTACAGGGATAAAAGCATCAAAAGGATAGCAATTTGGTGGGGGGCTGGGGAGGGGTCTTTATTCTTTATGCAAGTAGGAACACTGGATTTCTGGGTTTTGCAGGGATTTTTTTCTTCTTGGTCTTTTGGGACGCAACGTAAGGGCTGGGGTGTTTATTTATAGCATTTCGCTTTGCAATCCATTTCCAGTTCCAAATCAGGTCAAACGACAGCCACCGAGTTGCTGACAATGGAGGAAAAAAATAGGAGGGAATGGAAGACAGGGGATTCAATTCCTCTCCTCTCAGGATATTTTGCAAGAATCGGTGGGGGTTTTTTCCCCCTCCTTGCCTTCTTTTTCTCTGGAAATGGAGTTTTTCTTGAGTTGGAAAAAGAACGGTTCCAGCTGTTTATGTGGGTTTTTTCCTCCCCTTCCTTATTTCTTCCCTTCGGCTCAGATGAACATCTTCCGAAGAATCCTTTTTTGGATTATTGGATTCACCTCTTGGGAGAGGTTTGTGGGAAAATTCCACCCCGATAGCCCATTTGTTAGACCCTCAAAAAGTTTGGGAGGAATTGCTGAGGAGATCTCAGCAAAATCTCTCGGCAACTGGCATTGCACTTACGACAAACGCAACTTCTCGGAGTCAGCTTCCCACAAGCCAAGTCAGTGGAGGAAAGCGGATTCACTTAGCAGCTGTGTGATTCACTTAACGACTGCAGTGATTGGCAAAAAAAAAAGAAGGTAGTAGAATCGGATGTTAGCAACTCCCTTGCTTAGCAAAAGAAATGCTGGTCCCAATGGTGGGGTTAAGTTTCGGTCAGAAATGCTCCGGGGGTCTCCTGCCTGAGCAGGGGATTGGACTAGATGACCTTCAAGGTCCCTTCCAACTCTGTTATTCTAAGTTCTAAGTTGAGCAGCCGTAGAATAGATTGCTAAGGAAAAGGGAGCAAGTTGTTCATTTGTTGAAGCCCCTGGCCGGATGGAATTCAGCATTATTTTTTTTAAAAAAACGAGTCGGCTCGTGTTACTGCAGCTGCTTTTGCATTGGCCTCACTTTACCAGTTAACAGACCGTATATCCCAGGCTGCCCAAAGCTGTTTGACATTTATGAAGTGCCTAACCTCCCAGCCCTGATTTATGCCCGATCCAGGAATATAAAAACTGCTAAATTCTTCGGAGGCTACTCAAGATCGTAGGGAATGGCTGCCAACTACACAGTGTGAGCCACACAGAAAGAAAAGAGACTAATAGAAAAAGAAAAAAACTCCTGGGAGTGGAGTATATATCTCTGCTTGGTATTCTATTCCAGCTGTGCTGATACAGATACAGATTAATGGAGTTGGAAGGGACCTTGTAGGTCATCTAGTTCAACCTCCCCATCCATGCAGGGGATCCTACATCATTTCTGACAAACGGCAGCCCAGTTGCTTCTTGAAAGCCTCCGTGATGAAGCTCCCACAACTTCCGAAGGCAACTTCTGTTCCATTGGTTGATTGTTCTCACTGTCAGAAAGTTCCTCCTTATTTCCAGGTTGAATCTCTCCTTGTTCAGTTTCCATCCATTATTCCTTGTCTAGCCTTTGGGTGCTTTGGAAAATAGCTTGACCCCCTCCTAATTTACAGCCCCTCAAATATTGGAAGACTGCTATCATGTCTCCCCTGGTCCTTCTCTTCACTAGACTAGCCATGCCCAGTTCCTGCAACCATTCATCATATGTTTTAGCCTCCAGTCCCCTAATCATCCTGGTTGCTCTTCTCTGAGCTCTTAAGGTCCTTTCCAACTCTGTTAAAAATCTATTATTTGTGTAGAGACACACATTCTGTATGCTTTCCATTTCTTTCAATACCTCTGTCAGTCGGCATTCCGCTACTGCAAGTGTCCTTATATATTATTGGGTTATTTGGTGTGGTTTTTCTTACTTTAGGGTGCCCCTCCTCCCTTTCTAGCTTTCTGGAATTTCCCCCAAGCTTGCCGCTTTCTGGTTCGTGCTTGAGGGACTTTCCCCAAACTTCCTGTCTCCCATCGCTAAATCGTGGGGGTGCCGGCTGAGATACATAAGCACCTTCATGAATCAGCTCAATGTCAGTTTTAGGCGTGGGGCTAAGGCACCGTTTGTTGAAATGTTGTTTGTGGAACAACCACAACGGGCTGGGGTTGGTCCATCTGCATAAATTGTCCACTGAGAAATAAAGTGGAGGGGGGGGGTCTAAGTTCACGCAGAAGCAAATTTGAGTAAAGCATAGAAGAGGCTTTCTGTGATACGTACATTGTCCAACCTGTTTGACAATAGGAACTGAATTTTTTTTCCAGGGTGGGCATGGGATAAGAGACACTAAGATTGATGGATGTGTGGGTGGTAGGCCAAGATATGTTAAATGCATTTCTCCATGATGCTCAGCAGAAGTCTCTTTGCTTCAGTCATCAGCAACTACCTTGCCTTTTTAAAAGTGTAAAGAATCAGGGAAGAAAATAGGGGTTTACTTGAAGAGGCCAGGAGAGAAGGCTGCAAATTTGGTTTTTCAAAGCTTTCATAGTTTTGGGACGGTCCCCACGAAGATCCTTTGTCTTGTCCCAACTCTCCATTATTATCTATATAGATAAAAACAGTTCTCTCTGTGTGTGTATCTATCTATCTATCTATCTATCTATCTATCTATCTATCTATCTATCTATCTATCTATC